ATATATATATAAAAACAGAGTAAAAAAAATAAATAAAACACATTTGGGGAAATACTGATCTAAGGCAATACAACTATTGTATAGTAGTCAAAACAGGACCAAAGACACACATGACTTGCCTAATGTAGATGAGGTAGTTAGCTGCCTGGGATTAAAATCCAGCTCCCCCATGTCTGAATCTAGTGTCTTTATGCTTGAGTTAGATGTCTGTTATTTTTCCCCCTCATCTACTTCCCTTTGAGCAAAACATGGAATAATTTTCTATAAAAGGTATAAAGTTCTTTCACTGACAATTAATTTTCCTCAAATGTCAAGCAGAGGTTATAGAAAAAAGGAATGCAAGATTTTAAATCTTTAATTACAATATGACAACTTGACAACCAACAACTAATGCTATCCTTGTAGAAAAGACAAATGATCCTAGATTCAAAGTTTCTGGTCTTATGCTAAAAGAGGTACAGAAGATCACATTTCTGTAATATATTTGGCTGTCTGTATCACCTTACAAAAACCAGTGTGTGAAAATACATGAAAGAGTTAGAACATCTTTAATGATGTTAAATTTTGACCATCTGTCCTATGAAATTCAAGGCCAAGAGATAATTTTTTTTTTTTTTTTTTAGTCTGAGACTACAACATTAAGCTCTGGTTGTAACACTAAGCTTCTGGTACAATACATAAAAATCAGACATCACTGTCACCTCACAAAACAAAACAAAATTCTAGAGCCAAATAGCAAAGGAAGTTTATGAAAAAAATATTATTTTGTTAAAAAATAAATATATACCACATATTTGGGTAACCAATGAAACAGAGTGTTCTGACATTATAATCATTTCTTTTGAAATAGTAAGCGGCTTATTGCAAAGGTAACAGCATAATTTTTCCTTATTGTAGAATGAATGCAAAGGTCGGATGTTACGAAATTGCTTAGATTTTTTAAAGTAGAGAATAAGATGGTAAGGAATAGAAAAAAAGTTTAAAGTGTAAACTAATTATAGAAGGTAAATGAAGGTGTGATAAAATGTCGTAAAAAATAAAGAAAGATGTGTAAAATATCTTAAAAGATTGAGAAATGAAGAAGTAGCAATACAAAACTTACAAATGTGTAAAAAGACAGTCCTTATTTTTCTGTTTCCAAGGGACAGAGCTATGAATAAAAGGAGAAAATTATAGGGAATATATATTCCAACACAATTTTAAGGAGAAAAAAATTCCCAGGGCTGTAAGTTAGTACCTAATGGATGACTGAAGAGTATTAATTTCTTCATCCTCAGAAGGTTTATAGCAGGGGCAAGGGACCACTTTGCAAAGTAGCTTTATGTAGGATTCTCATGTACCAAATGAGGGTTGAAATAAGATGACATTTAAGATGGGTAGGTACATTTCAATCTTGAGATATAAGAAGTCTTTAAAAAAAAAGTGTCCAATATATATGATCTGATTCACTTGATACACAATATGATAGCTATGCTGTTTGAGAAATTAAAGGGGTTATTACTAAGACTCTAAAAAAAGGACTTCTTTCACTGTGGAGAAGATGCTGCAAGACTTCCTGAATTATGGGTACGCAGTCACAAAAGTCTAAGGAAATTAATAGTTTCATTTTAGACCAGCGTACTTATAGAACTCAAGTGAATAACATACAGAGGAAATTTTCCTAAGAAGTGAGAGAAGGAAGTGGTGTAAATTGCTTTAGAAAGAACAGCATATTTAGAGAAAAATATGCAGAGTGTGGTACAGCTGGTAAATCATAGAGTCTAAATGGTTTGTACTTCCTTTGAGGGAAGAGTGTAGATGAGGAGGAAGGAAAAAGAGGTTATGAATGTAGGTTAGTAAAGAAAAGAAGAGATGAAAAAGAATGACCAAAGGAGAACATTAATAAGTATTTAGGGTTGAAAAAAGAAAATTGATCTTTTGAGTGGCTTCAGTGATTTTTTTTCTCTATTCTCTTTTTCTCATGGTCATTTGTCTTTCAGAATATTACAAAATGAATCATTTTTTCTTTCATTTTCAGATTCAGCTTACCACTTGCCTTGGAAGTACTAATTATGTTTTCCTTACATAAGAGAGGAGAGACCTATTATTGTTAGAGGTTCATTTTTTTAAAGCTATGCCTTAAATTCAAAACACTTATGAATTATGTCACAGCTATTTTTGAAATTGTTTTATCTACAATGAATATCATGAAAATTGTAATGGGAAAATAGCATGGTTCCTGAAAAATTCTTTGACAAATTTATTTGGAGATTTTAAGAAAAGAATTTGAAAATAAAGCTAGATTCAAGCACAACTTCAAGAAATAAGTAAACAATATCTCACACGATTTTACAAAGCAGCATTTGAAGAAATATCAGAAGGTTTTCTAAAACCAAACTGTTATAGAACAATGAGTCAAAGGTGAAACAAGTCACTGCAACAGTCATTACATGAAAATGAATCTACCCTCTTCATTTTTCAATTTAGCCCTATGAAGAAGATGGTCATCAAAGGTCATTTTATTCCCAAGTCAATAGTTTAAGTAATAAAGTTTGTATTCTAGAAAAAAGTTGTTCAGGCCTTATACCGCAACAACAATTTGTCTAGTTCAGAATTGAAAGCTAACGACAACAAAAAGTTTTAGAATTTCTCAAGAATGAAAATAGTAGTGACTTCAAGTGGTAAAAAGAAGCCCCAAACTCTGATTTGCAATTTTGAGTGAAGTTAATATTGGGCATTTTATGCCCATTTAGTTTAACTAGATACTTTCTTACAATAGTTTTTTTCTGAATAGTGGCCATTGCCTTGACATGTTAGGTGGGTAGGGTGCACTTGTTAGAGGCATTAATGAATAATTGAATGATAAATAAAGGAAAAAATGAAAGAACTGACTGATAAACCAAGGAAACAAATGCAAACCCCTTGTACAGAAAGCAGCATTGCGTGGTGGAGATGAATGCGGACGCAAGCCAGATGGCCTCAGCTGGATGTCCAGTTCTTTCTATCATTACCTATGTGACCATGGGCAAGTTAGTAAGGTTCTCTGTACCTTAGTAAGGTTCCTTTGGTTTACATAAAATGTGCTTTTGTGTGAAAGATATGTTACATGACCACCAAACACTTTAAAAGTATGTGAAATACATTAACTACCAAATAAATGTTGGCTCTTGAGATACTATCAAAGACTTATCCAGATAATTCAATACAAAGGTCATTCACAACTATGAAATTCGCCTACTGGTATTATGTACAAGATCTCCAGAGCCCAGGGAAATGGGCACAATGAATATAGAACTTTGGGTTTTTACCTCTAAAAGTTGTATATGTCATAGAAATCACTTTTCTTTTGAGACTGTATAGATTCCCCATACACTTCTCAAGAAGCGGTTGGAGATCCCTACTCCTCGCAGACATAGATTAGAGGCCCTGTTTTGCAAACACAGACCTATGACTAGATATGTTCATCTTGAGATCTGTTGTATTGGACAACCTAACAGGCACGGTCCCTAAGCCACATTGCTTGTTGTTTAATTAAACAGAAGGGGGGAGATGCTGAGAGCCATAGCCAAATAGAATTGATGCATGGCATTTTTGGTTGAAAGGTGATGCCAGCAAGCCATTGAGATGATAATGATTATGTTAAGATCTGCATTCAATTGGATATTAGACCCCTGCTGTCCACCTGCCTCGGCCAGAGTTCCCATTGGTTGGGGAAGTGTGGTAGGAGGGATTTCCAGAGGAGGGATTTCTGTTTGGTGGAGTGTGTCCCGGGAGGAGCTGAGTGGCGAGTGGCGTGGCATTCGGCATTTTTTTCCCCTGGGAGCGTGTGTGGAGTGTGCTGGTGGAGTTCAGAAATAAAGTTTATTCCTGCTTCAGTGGCTCATGATTTATGCCCAGCCAGACTGCGGCAGAGATCTATTTCAGTATGAATTTTTGATTTTTGAATTTTCAATATTTGATTATTATACTGTAGATTAAGTCTATAACTTACAATTGATATGAAATAATTTTTATCACTGCTGTATCTAGTGTTTTCTATTTATGATTGCTTAAATTTTGCTTTAGTTTGTCTTATAATCCATAGCTCAGAAAGGGTGGCTTTGTGTCAGTGGCAGTCATCGCCAGGACTCCTAAATGTGGGCATCTGGCAAACAAAATAGCTATAACCCTGCTGAGGGGAGAGAGGAAGGGATCCATTCACACACATGATGGAATTTAGATTACGAATTCTTGAAAATCATAGGCTGTTTCTACAGTGGTTGAAACTTGGACATGCACATATCAGTAAACCACATAATGTTGTTTCCTTTGTTGTACTACCTGGAAGTAGCAGTTGCACTCACTAATAGGAAATGGATTATTTTGGAAATATCTACTATGTTTACCATACATTGCTGAGAAAATTGGTGAAAATTTAGAATACCGTTTTGAAAATATCAAAAAAATAAAAAACAATTGTATGTATACTTTTTTTAAAAAAATTATTATTTGTTGATGGACCTTTATTTATTTATATGTGGTACTGAGAATTGAATCCAGTACCTCATACCCGCTAGGCAAACATTCTACCACTGAGCCACAACCCCAGACCTGTATGTGTATTTTTAGCTCTCTTCCCCTGAAATCTACCCTCTCCTCTTTTCTGTTTCTTCACATGGTCACTACAATACTAAATTGTGTCCTTCCCTCCCAAATTCATGTGAGGCGTTGAAGGTTAAATGAGTTAAAGATGGGGCCCTACTCTGATGGTACTTATAAGAAGAAGAAAAGAGGGACACTACTCTCTGTCAGCCTGAGTACCTAGGAAAGGTCACATGAGGATGCAGCTAGAACATGGTTTTCTAAACCAGGAAGAAGGCTCTCTCCAGAAACCAGTTTGCAACCTTCAACTTCCCAGACTTCAGAACTGTGAGAAAACAAATTTCTGTTGTTCAACAGAAATTTTGTTATGGCAGCCTAAGTGGACTAAAATGGTCACTCATTGAGAAACAAGAGCTTTATAAATATGCAGTTTTACTTACCATTAGTAGTCTGTCTCCTACTTGCAACCTTCCATCTTTTTGTGCAGCTCCACCATCTATAATTTTTGTCACATAAATGCTGTTGTCTCCAGGAATGTGCTGGTTCCCCACACCTCCTGCAATACTGAAGCCTAAACCTATAGGAAAAGAGCAGAAAATGGAAAACAAATGCAATTAGCCACATTTAAATCATTTTTTAAAAACAATAGATCTTTAATTGATTGTAACAGCAATATATAAAACAAAGATTATAATTTAATCAGTTTTATTCTTTAACAATTTGAAGATTTTTTTGGGTGGTACTGGGGATTGAACCTAGGGCCAAGTGCATGTGAGGCAAGCACTCTACCAACTGAACTATTTCCCCAGCCCTGAAGATTTGTTGTTTTGGTTAATGAGAAAAAAAATCTTTTTTATCAATCCCATATGAACACTAGTTTTGTACTATTTCAAGACTGTGCAACTAAATGCTGCTGTTCTTCAGCTAATTAGTTCATGGTGGGAGACTGGTCAGAACAGGGATTGGGCAGGGAGCTTATGTGAGCCTGGGAAAACAGTCCTTCTTAAGTCCAGTATATGAGCTCATCCTCACTGTCTTCATTACTCTAGCATAGAGAAAAGAAGTTTTTGACACTGCAGGATGTAAAATAAAGCTGTCAGAAAATCACACACGTCCTGAGATAAGAGAAATGAGGAAGACACACTGGATAATTAGGTCGTAATTTCAGAGAGAAGATAAGGAAAAGAAGCTAAATGCTTGCCTTTCATGTCTACTTCTCTGGCCACCTTGACTTTTCATATATCCTAGCAATCACTGTTACTAACTGATAGTGAGGCTAATGACATAAAAAAGTGAATCATCCCTGTACATAGTACAAGTTTAAAGAAATGGTTTAACTTTATAATTTTTACAACAACCAGCAGGATATTATATCATATTTAAATGTGGAAATTTCCTATTTTGAGAGGTGATTTTTGCATATGATGACTTGCAAAACTTATATTTTTATTTTATTTTAATGGAATGATAATAAGAATATAGTTACTTAGTAAAATTGTTCCGAAGTAATTTTAAAGAAATAATTGACAGAATTTTTAAGGGTTTAGGAAAAAAAGAAAATCCTTTCAATAGTGACTGAATATATTCAGTACAATATTTATAGAATATATTTTCATTGAATTTCTAAATCATAATGATAATATGAAAATTAACCAAAAAAGGATATTAAAGAAAGACATTTGATACTAAAAGACAGAATTTCTGTAATGTTTCTGGCTAAAGAAATGTTTCTTAAAAATAACATAATCAATTGATAAATCTATCATAAAACTTTTGGCATTTTATACAATAATAATGAAAAACACTTTAAAAACTTCTAATTCCATTACCATGCTTTTATTGAATAAATATTGTGTAGGGCTATATGCTCTTAAGATAAATGATTAATGGAAAAAATGATGAAATAGTAAATTATAAAGTAACACCTCTGGAATTATATTAGAACTGCAATGATTTTGTTAAATTAACCATAATAGTTGTTAGAAAAATAAATGGAAAATGGATTTAAATTGATAGGGCAATTAAAATAAGTGTTATCTAATTTCTGACTGAAGTGGGTAATTATTTTTTATTAATGCTTTGCCACCCCATAGAACCATGAATGTATTTACCTAGGGTTTAAAGAATTTGTTTATAAAGCAAAAGATGACCCCAAATAAATATGATGTTCCCTATTTTGCTTTTAATATGAACTTCAAAACACATATCAGCTCATGCTTTCTAAAATTATCACTTTATTAAATAAGTAAATGCACATAAGAAAGTTTCAAAAATGTATTTACTAAGTTTCATAGCAATGTGGGAGGAATAAGCTATTGCATTTTAGCTCTAAGGAGGTCATTCCAAGCTCTGTAAAAATAAAAAAAAGTTAAACACAAATCTAGGAATTCTGATATACATCTACTAGGGCAGCAATAAATGCCACAGACAATCTTAGTTACAGAAAAGCTATGGAAAAAAATTACCACCATAAAGAAGATTAAGTCCAAAAAAGAGAGTAACTATGTATTTGATATTAGAAGTTCAAGATTGTACCAAGACAATGAAATCACTATGGATACTGTGGACATAAATATATCAGCTGAAAAACAAATAACAGGTTTTTTTTTTTTTGAGGTTAGGTTTATGTACTTTTTTAACTAGTGACTCTGCTCAAAGTGAAGGAAGATATTTTCAGTATACATCCCTCTCAGAGGATGTCTTTGAGAGCACAAAGCTAAAAATTAATCTCACTTTAATGGAATATGAATATATTTGAAAACAGCCCACCATATCCCAGATATTCAATTCAACATGGTAAGTAAATGTGTAGTTTATGTCTCCATCCAGAATACAACTTTATTTACAGATAGAAGTATCCATCTGTATTATAAGATTGAATCTATCTGTGCTTTATATAGAGAGCCTCTATCAATCGTGGCCTATATAAATGTAAAGAAATGGCTTCCTATACTGTTCTACAGACACATTACAGAAACAATGACCCACAAGTGGGTTCATATGAGTGGGTATGATAACCTGGGTGAAACAATATTCTAAACCCAGGCAATGTCAGTGATTGTTGTAGGACTACTTTATGAAGACAAACATCAGCTAGGACTACTAAATAGCAGGAAGACCAAACCCAAATGAGTAGTATGCCTGTTCCTTATGTTTCCTCTTTTGATACAGGGGCAGGATGCCCACATTATAGGCTCTAGACTAGGTGAGGTCCTCCATGATCAATCTCTATTGGCACTCTCCACTCCTCTCTCCGCACTAGCTAATCTTCTCTTTCATTTCACTCCATGCATCACTGCATGGAGTAAGCTCTATGACGACTATGATTTTTGTTCAATTTACAGTATGTAAGAAGAACAAGTCCAGGTACTTAGTGCCTCATAAAGATGTATTAAATGAAAAAAAGAAAGAAAAAATGAATGAATGTAAAGGATGAGGAAAGTCACCAAGAAATATAAGAGAATGAGGAAAGTCTATGAGAAAACTTTCCTTAAGATAATGACTTTGAATAAGCAAGGGAAAGAAAAGTGGACACTCTTGTTTGGGATCAGTAACTACATAAGTTACTGCACTAGCTCTGGTAGATTTGCATTAGCTCTCCACCCTCAGTCAGCAGCATCTATGCCAATTTCAGAGCAGGCAACCCGGCAACAGCAGAGACAGCTCCACATTCTGATGCTTTCATCTACTAACTATACATATTTCACTCTCAATTTCCTCATCTATAGAAAGGGAGCAAGTGTATGTATATTCAATAGTAACTAGCATATAATAGATACTTGATAAATACTCTTAATGAGCCCTTAAATAGTTTGAAAAATCAGAAAACATTTTGATATAATTTAACCGGTTATGATAAGTTCTATCATGGCAATGATGTTAGACGAGCATAACTACTTAAGGAGCAGGAGAGGGATTAGCAATAGATTTAGCACTTAAGCTGGGTCTGAATATCAAAACAGAATTCATTAAAGAGAGTGTGCTTTTTTAAACTTAAATTTTATTTTTTAAAGAGAAACGGTTATTTAATTTCACAGTTTCAGAGCGTCTAATCCATGATCAATTGGTTCTGTTGCTTTGAGCATGCAATGAGGTTGCATATGATGGTAAGGAGCACATGGTGGAGCAAGGTAGCTTGGAAGTGAAAAAAAGAGAGAGAATGTTTCAATATTCCCTTCAAGGGTATGCCCCATGACCTATATTTCTCCACTAGTTCCTACCTCTCAAGGGTTCTACCACCTCACAGTAGCACCATGGGCTAGGGACCAGGCCTTTAACATATGGGCCTTTGGTGAAGAGAATGTAATTTTGACAGGAACACATCCTTTGGATTCCAGACTGACTGAATGACTCAAGTTTGCTATCCTAAAAAACACATGGTGCTGATTAAACCCGAGCTCTACTGAGTTTGAAATAGTTACAGAAATGCTTAGTAAACCATCAAGAGATGTATGTATGATGTGATAGCTAGGGTGGCCCCTATCAGGGTAAATATAATGAGTATCATAAAGATTTGAGTAAGAAACACCCAAAATGACAAAAATGCTGATTTGGGGGAATGTGGTAGTTTTTAAACATTTAGAGAATCAGCATCTATTTTGAAAGTAAATCTCTAGGACTCAGAAATAACTCAATAATTGTTATGGCTCAGATAATAAGCATTCCCCAAAAGCTCATGAGTTAGTGCAAGAAGGTTCAGGGGTGAAATGATTAGATGATGAGAGTTATACCCAATCATTGGATTAAGCGGATGATAACTGAAGGCAGGTAGGGTGTGGCTAGAAGAGATAGGTCACTGGGGGCATACTTTGGGGTTTATATTTTGTCCTTGGTGAATGGGGAACTCTCTCTCTCTCTCTCTCTCTCTCTCTCTCTCTCTCTCTCTCTCTCCTTCCTGATTGCTATTTCCTGAGATATTTTCCTCTTCTACACCCTTCTTCCATGATGTTCTGCCTCATCTTGGGTTCAGAACAGCAGAGTCAGTCATCTACAGATGACCTCAGAAACCATGAGTGCCAAATAAAACTTTCCTCCTCTAAAATTGTTCTTGTCAGGTATTTTGGTCACAGAAGTGAAATACCTGTATCAAACAACCAGTTTTATTCAGAATTTTAAACAGAACCACTTCTTTCAGTCAACTGCAAAATAAAATCAGTGAGCTGAGTTAAGTCTCACCAAACCACTGGCCCTAACACTACCTACTGTAGAACATTTGGCCATTAAGAACAGGACTAAACATTCCATGTGCCTGCTGGTTGTATACAAAGATGGCACAGAAAAATAGAAGTAATCAAGGTACAAAAGGAAGTAAAATCAATAGATATTTCAGGACTCTAGCAAAGGAAGAAAAGCATGTCCAATTTAAACACCTAATTTCCTAAGTAATTAAAAATGATCTGTTTGGCAAACATGGGCTGTGCACAAAGAATTTCAGAACTACATCTGTTGCAAAAAGCTGGGCTTGTCATTCCATATTTCTGGCACATCCCCAAATTCTCCTGTTAAAGTGGGAGATACAGGCATAGTACAGGAACTCAGAACCTGGTGAAAGCTTATAACTGAACCTTTCTCTGCAAA